TGGTTATACATTTTGGACCTGGATCGAGCCGAGCCCAATTTTCATTTGAGAACGAATTGAAATGGCTTTGGCATGTTCGCCCGGGTGGGAATCCGCCTGAAGGCATTAGGGCACACCCAGAGGAGGACGCCCAATGCCTAGAAGATGATATGATCACCTGGGCGACGCGTCATCTGACGCAAGCGCGGGAAAATAATAATGAACCAGTTGACTATTCATTGCCTTGCCAAAAGTGGGCGCGCTACTTCCATCGAAATTCGTTGTGGGAATTTTATTGCGCCCGGCGAGGTTCCCAATGCCCAGAGCGCTGCTGGCGCCGTGATTTGGCCCGGCCCAACTGGAGCCGATAGCGAGTCACCCACCGCGAAGATAGAGGACGAAGAGGATTCGCGCCCTGCGGCTTCACCGTCGGAGACAGATTGCAGACTGAGGACCCCCTATACCTGGGAGAAGTCCCACCCGTCATATTCGGAAGAAGTGAATTCCGAGATAAGCCCGGGAATGACGAATTTGTTCTTACGTGAAACACTTCCGCCATCACCCGATCATGAACAGCTCCGCCCAGGGGGGCAAGACCCCCCGGGGCGAACGAGACATGTAACCCGCGCGACATTTTCTATGACCGGGGATTGGCTATACTTGGGACATCAAGAACGCGCGGATATCCGTGACGATACGGGCGAAGAAGTTCGAAAACGAGTTGTCGAAGCCCACGGGGCTGGCCTTGTGCCGCCCCGCATCTCAGCGATTCGCGGGCGCACTGATAAAATGCCTACATGGTGCATGACCCAGCATTTACGTTGCTCGGGGAAGAAGCAGAGGAATTCGGACGAGCAGTTCATTTTCTTGGAGCAGAATTCGATTCAGACGACCGGCCACATGCTTTTTCCCCAGGAGGTTTACCCGCCCCTCACTCCTGTAATTTCACCTACTGACGCTGTCGGCTTATCCGAAGAAGCGGAGGAGGAGATAATGAGGCAAGGCAGTCAAACCGTCATGTTGGGGAGCTCTGAAATTTGGCGAAAAACAGCCCCCGCAGTTGCCCTGTCGCCCATTTCATTGGTGAATGCGCAGTGTATATGGCTAGACATTGCGCTGATTATGCTCGATCATCGGGCGGGTGGGCGCGCGTTGGTGACCTCATTCGGAAAATGCGAAGTGATGGGGTAACGTATGCCACAACTGCACTTGCGGTGCACGGTTGAACCTTGCTATCGTCGGGCGTTGTTGAAATTCTCGGGACAAAAGCCGAGGGCGTTGTGCTTATTGAGCAGACGACGCGGATGGAACATTGGGAACAGCTTCTAAATCCGGATGCCTCATGCGACGCAGTCGTTGATGGGGAAAATGGGAGCGTAGTTGTTTCTATTGATCGAGCCGATGGTGCTTGCAGGCCCATGTCGGTGTTCTTTCGCGGGCGTCAAGGACACCCTTGTTTTGCCCGCATCATAGGGCGCATGTGTGCCCCGCATGAATTTGGAATGGCACAGTGCCACGGACATTTGTTGCACGTAACAAGCATGGGAGCCCTCAAGGAGTCGACGATAGACTCAGCGATAATCCGATATCCCGATAAGCTCAGCGGATTATGCAGAGCATCTGAATACGAATTTCTTACCTTGATACCTACACGGCGTGATTCCCCCGCTGAAAGTGCCGAGCACATTCTTCGCTGGCATCGCCAGAGGAGGGATGGTGATGCTCCGCCTGCTAAGACTTATCAGAGCCCGAGCACTGCCCCTTCTAGGAGCGGACTTCCTACAACGGGATCTCGGCCTCATGGAATTACTCCATATCTTTGGGAGGTTGCCACTGCGCATAATGCGAACTGGCACTACATTGTCGTCTTCAACGGGCGTGTAGTGACCCGCCTTCGGCATCGCATCTGACGCGACGGCACTCTTGTGACAAGTCAACAAGCACGCTTCAATGATATCTCTCGCATTGCAAAGGTGTTACTGAGTGAAGAAGTAGAGCAACGCCGTCGGCAAATTGCTTGGGCAATTGTTTTCTCAAGAGTGGACTGCATTTTGAGGTGGTCTTCTCATGTGATACAGTCGGGGCGTGGATATTTTCGGATGAAAACATTGGAGTTGTAAGAGACGGTATAATACCCGATGGAAATATGGCTCGCGCAATGCAGAAGCCATGGTCTGACGATGAGAGGTCCATCTGTGCAAATTTTCCATGCTGTGAGAACAGGTTTTTGGATGATGTCTCCAATGCCTCGTTCCAGTTCAATAAAACATAACGTTCGAAGGGACTACCAATCGGCGCCTGGCAGAGATGCTTTGGTTGCTGCGTGGACAGACCTGCGACTAAGCCCGCATTTACGTGATTCCCCGAGAGGGGGGGGAAAGCGGATCCAAGCTCATTTCCAGAAGACTGGGCGCCATGAACAAAAGCTCGGTCGATGCGCTGGAAAACTTGAACAAAGCGGAACAACGCCAGCGGGCGTGGGCCAACGCTGAAGATGCTCGCCCCAGGCGCGCTGTGGCGGGGCAAATTTTCTCACGCGGACAACCAGGGGCCGTTCCGGCTTGGAGACCTGACAGCGCCACGGCCCAGCCGCCGGCGCGTCATGAACCATACTTCCAGTATCTAGAACCATTGGAGCTTCGATTCGTGAATGGTTGAACCACAGGGCTGAGACGAAAGGAGAAGATGCCCCGACCGCTGCGGATGGGTGGCAGTTGATTTGGGCACCAGATGTAGACCAATACGCTTGCCCGTTTAGATGTTCTGCCACTGCTGCTTTCGATTGGTCAACTACACCCAGAAGACGGCTGGGACGAATGGGAACGAGAACAGGAGGCAAGGGGAGTAACCATCCCATCGATTCAGACAGTAACGGGCAACTGGAATCAAGCCACTTATATCTCCAAATCGAATAAGGTAGGAGAAACGATTTCGGCGTAATTGCTGAACTTCATCAACGGCCCAGCCGTTCTGATGAAGTAATAACATCTCGGGAATAAGAAAGCGCTCGGATGTCGAGAGGCGTATCGGATGACAGCATGGTTCAGCGTTGCGCGATAAGTATCCCGACACGAGCACTGCCATTTTGGCTTGATTTGATTTCTATGTCTGTTTGAATGTCCTATTCGAGACACAATGTTGGCGGATATGTTCGGCGAGAAATCATCAAGCTTGTGACACAATTCATATTTGAATACCTGACTGCGTCGGTGGTGCCGGCGCCATTGCACGCCGACGTGGCTCATGACGTGCCGCGCGACTTGGTTGAACTCGTTGAAAGGATATGGAATGAACCCTCCGACCGAATGCCCACTTCTGAGAGATGTGGACGGATGCTGTTAGCCGTGCGAGAAGTAATATGTTTGTTCATGTCCGCGGGGCTTTGCGTGGCATTTCCTGGATACGAAGTATAACGAACTTCTCATAATGCTGAGCTTGCCCGAAAAACGATGTGCGATTCATATGCGTTGGACTGTCGGATTAGGTCCGCGATTGAATCATTCGATCTACTCCACGAGTGGACCCGCGGCTTAGGAAACGAAGTCTCGGCGACTGTACGACAGCATAGCAGAGGCATCCAATGTGCTGTTGTTGTTGCGCAGATGGCTACAAACACCCCTTTCAATTCCAGGGTTCGCGTGTCAAACAGTCGTTTTGGATTCTCCAGCACCGATAATCCCATTGGACTGACTCATTGTCTTAAAAAGCCAAATGAGGAGAGCGGCCGAGCTGACTCTCCCACGGAGGCTCCACAGCCCAGCGCGAGTGCCATGACTACGATAGTCGCAGCCAAAGCCCCGATCCGCTCTGCCGCACATCGTCGAGACCGAGCATGATTTGGACAGAGAGGCAGACCTATAGGGCTGCCCCTTATAATCATGTGCCCACGGGCTCAGCCGCGTCGGGCAGCGATGCCCGGCGTGTCGACGGCGATCGGGTCCGGACATGGGCTGATGAACCCGCTGCCGAAGTAGATGGCCGCGCGAGCGACGGCGGCGGCGCCTGGCCGGCCCTGGATGGCTGCTGGGACACGACGCAGGACCACGCCGACAAGAACGAGAACGGGGACATTCGAGGATATTCTGTTCATGTTAGTCGACATCAGCATAGCACAGGTCATACCAAAACGTGGCAATGGTTTAGTTCAACGAGGACCATGACAAGTTCAATCGTAATCGCACCTTGCCAGAGCCTCCACCTTCACCTACGCCGAAGGCGAGGCCGGCTGACAAGGACCAGGGCAAGGACAAGTCAGGCAGCTGGATTACACACAGAAGAAGAGACAGATATGCAGATCGCCCAAGAGACCAGTACCAGTGGAACTGGCGCAACAATGATAACTGGGACGATTCCCGAAACTGGAGAAATGATTGGCAGAGGTAATACAATACAAGAAAGCTTCGTACGACTTCGTCGATACCAGTCCAACGTTCATCCTGAAGCGGGTGCACCAGGTGTGCATGGGCATTGTGGCTTGAGCTGGCAATATTAGCTCGGGCGGGGTTCGTCGGGTTGTTTCGGTCTTCCGCCCCCTGGCAACCACAGTCGAGCGGTAAAAGTGTTTTTGGGTTTCGCTCTTGTGGCTGTACACATGCACAGGCCAGGTGGGTTGGGGGCCGGGGCGACTACGCATCCCGCCGCGGGGGGAGTCAATGCACTCCTTCCGCGCCACCGCTCTGCTGCCCGTCCTGCTCCCTCGCCCCGCTCGCACTGTCTGTCTTACTTGTGGATCTTACCTCAAGCTGTGTGGTTCTAGGGGAACAGAAACGGAGCGAGCCTGCTGCGCGCGCGTGCGTCGGCCGGCGGGCCAGCCTCCTCCCTTCAGGGTTACCCTATTGCTAGCTGAGCGGCGTTATTCTTTCTCCCCATGTCATCTGCGGAGCCCACTGAAACTGAGACAACATCGGAACATCTTGCAGGGATTATGAAGATTCTGGCGAAAGACTGCAAGACTTTGTGTGTCCGTGGGCCTCCCCGCTGGTGCGCCTGCCGAGCCTCTGCGCCCTGGGCTCTCCCCGCAGGCAGGCTCGAGTCGTTCCTGCTGCCCGGCGACGGCCGCCGGACCTACACCGGCGAGGCGGGCCAAGAAGACGCAACCCGCTGCTTCGGAGGAGGAGGACTGGGAGGGGGCGGAGGAGGAGGAGCAGGGGGAGGAGGAGGAGGGGGAGGAGGGGGAGGAGGAGGAGGAGGAGGAAGATGAGGAGGGTCGAGGGTCGAGGCCACCGAGCGCGCGCCCGATCCGAGCACGCGACGGGATCTAATATGGAGCCTGCTCCCGCCGAACACGAAGAGCAGGGACCCCAAGGCCTGCACGGCAACCGCGGACGTACCGCACACGTGCCGCCGACCAAGGGGGAACGGCCGCCGTGGGAACACCCTCGGGACAGCAACCGCGGACGTACCGCACACGTGCTGCCCGAGGGGCCCACAGGGGCCAGCCTCTCAGAGCTCGGCGAGCCTCCGCAGCGTCTCCACCCCGAGCTGCTTGAACAAGGGGCCGTCGGTGTCGGGCCTGGACGAGGCCGCGAGGCGCCGCGCGAGCAGCTCCGCGCGCTCGTCCGAGGGCACCGCCGCCGCAGCCTCCGCCAGTGCGGGGCCGTTCCCAGCCGCAGCGGCTGCGGCTCCGCCAGCTCCAGGAGCCAGCTCCGCCGACGCCGCCACCTCCGGAGCAGCCGCAACCGCGGCCGCAGGCCGCAGCTGACGCCTCCGCGCCACGCGTGGCGGCAGGGCGTCCGCCCAGCTGTCGTCGACGAGCTCCGCCGACGCCGCCACCTCCGGAGCAGCCGCAACCGCGGCCGCAGGCCGCAGCTTACGCCTCCGCGCCACGCGTGGCGGCAGGGCGTCCGCCCAGCTGTCGTCGACGGAGCCGTCGGAGATGTCCATGGCACCGGGGGGCGCACCAGCGGGCACGGCGGCAGGCACCGCGGGCTCGCGGCCACCCGCCTTCCGCTCCGCCAGCCTCGCCCTGCGCCGACGGCGCCGCGCGCACTTCTTCTCCTGCTTCTCCGTCTTCTTCTGCGTGCAAATGGCCTCCACGTCGGCCGCGGGCTGCGGCGGCGCCGCGGCGGGGGTCGGCGTCCTGCCGGCGAACAACGCCGCAGACACCGCAGACCTCGCGACAGCTGCCACAGTGCGGCGTGGAGCTCCTCCTTGCACTGCTGCCCGCACCGCGGCTGCGACGAGGTCGCAGGCGTTGCAGGAAGCCCCTCTAGGCTCTGCCATGGCCCAGGACACGAACGAGGCGGGCCGAGAGCGAGGCAGAACCGTGCGACCGCTTGAGCCAAAATGTGGAAGATGAGGAGGAGGAGGAGGAGGAGGAGGTGGCGGAAGAGGAGGAGGAGGAGAAGGAGGAGGAAAAGGAGGAGGGGGAGGAGGAGGAGGAGAGGGATGGTGGTCAAGGAACGTTACGCGTTTTATCGCCGGTGCGCTTGCCTTGCGCAGCCACGATGGGTGCATGGCGCTCAAGCGTCGATGCAGGGTGGTAAAGGGCCGCCCACACTGTCTGGGCGCTAATGCACCTCGCGCCCGCGATGCCGCTGTAAGTCCACGTCGCAGACCCCCATCGAGTCAAGAAAAAATCATGACGGGTGATGTTTTGGTATTTTCGGCCTCCATGGGGCCCTTACCAGGCTTCGGGGCTATCCAGGAACGACTCAGGATGAGGAGCCGGTCCTGAGGAAAGGGTCCAGACCTTTGGGGGTCGACGTTATGAAAAATCATGACGTCGGGGTATTGGGGCCAGGCTGTCCAGCGGGGCGGCAGCGCCATGGGAACCCGTGACAAGGCCGTACCGGGGTTGCTGCCCACCGAGCGTTCGCAATCGACACTGAGGGCTTGTAGCTTTAGGGGGATCCAAAGAATTCGTTATCACCCTCCGTTCTCATTTGTTTGTTCTCTCTCTCTCTCTCTTTCGTTTTCTGTTTCCTGTTTCCTTTTGTGTCTCTCTCTTTCTCTCTCTCTCTCTCTCTCTCTTTTTCTCTCTCCTTTTATTCCGTTTTTCTCTTTCTCTCTCTCTCTCTCTACATGAGTTGGGAGACCGGAGTGTCTTTATTGTTCCTAGGTGCGTGGGTGAAGTGACATTCCTCGGCGCAGAGTCTGCTTGGTTGTTGAGTTTTCTGAAGAATAAGTATTGTTGATCCCCCCTCCGGTGACCATTGTATTTTTCAATTGAAGTGTTTCCTTCGGGGCTCGCACCTTGTTTGCTTGAGTCAGGGAAAGTCACGGGTTCAAGCTGTGTTGGCCCCCAGTTTGCAACAACAACGGCTCCCGCCTCATACTTCCCCACAATGTATTCCCAAATCGAGCTCTCGCGCGGGACTTCCTCACAATTTGTATACGAATCGTGCTCTCGCGTGTGCGCCCTCGGCGCTCAGGAATCACGCTCTCGCTTTCGTTTTTCTCACGATGTACTTGGGAATCGCGCTATCGCTCGAGACTTCCTCGTGATTCATGCAGGACCCACGCTTCAGCAACCCGCCTGCTCGACCTGGTCGCCCGGGCCCGCCTTCCCGACCTGCCCGCTATGGGTCTGCCCACCCGATCTGCCCGTCTGGTTCTACCACTTGTTTTCTGCTCCTTGCCCCCCTCCTGCCAATTTTAGTCGTGCTCCATTCTTCTCCCTCCCCCTTCCACCTGTCTTCTCTTCTCTTGTTTTAGGGGCTGCACTAAGTGCACGTGGCAGGTAAGGAAGATGTACCCCCAAGGGGGTGCGATCGAAGACGATGCGGGCGGGTACCGAGGGTTTGGGATCTATTGATTTACGCGTGGGCAGATAGGAGCGAGCAGACTTAAAATGATTGTTGCTGTTGTTGTTGTTGGTTGTGGTGGTGGTCTTGTTGTTGGTGTTGGAACTTAAGTACAAAACACTTATATTGTTGGACCCCCCCCATGCGCCTTGGCGCTCTCGCCTCGGCGCCGGCTACATTTTCATTGAAAATGAGGCTCACGCTCTAGCGGTTTGGGGGTTGCGCCAAAACCGGCCCCCCAACAACAACAACAACAACAACAACAACAACAACAACAACAACAACAACGCTTCCGCTCGAGACTTCTTCCTCTGTTTTTGCTCATGGCCCGTGCTCTTGCTCGCCGCCGAAAGCCGCCGTCCCAACAAAACCAGCGCTCCCGCTCGAGACTTCCTCACGTTTTACCTTGGACTGGCGCGCTACTCTTTCTCTCATCGGCGCCGCCCCCAGCAACAGCAATGCTACCGCTCGAGACCTCCTCCTTTTTTTGTTCCAAAGGCGGTGCTCCTCCTCGCCGCCGCAAAACCGCCGTCCCGACAAAACCAGCGCTCCCGCGAGAGACCTCCTTCCGTTTTACGATTGACTGGCGCCCCCACTCTTTTTTGAATTGGTGCCGCTCCCAGCAAGAACAGCGCTCCCGCTCGAGTCTTCCTCCCTTTTTCCTCAGGGCCCTCGCCACCAACAGCCCCCGTCCTGACAAAACCACGGCTCCCGCTCGAGGCTTCCTCGCTTCTTACTCAAGGCGGTGTTACTCCCCGCCGCCGAAAACCGCTGTTCCAAGAAAACTAGCGTTCCCGCTGGAGACTTCGTTTTGTTTCACGCTGGACTAGCGCCCTACTCTCTTCAGTATTGGCGCCGCTCCCAGCAACAACAGCGGCCCTGCTCGAGGCTTACTCCCTTTCTATTTAGGGCCAGGTCCTTGCCTCGCCGCCGACAGCTCCCATCCCCACCAAGGCAATCCTGTCGCTCGATACTTCCGTGTGCTTTACCCTTAGCTGGGGCTCCACTGGCGGTCTCGCATCGGCGCAGAAAGACGTGGGCATGTGTTATCGAGGCGGAATATGTTGAAATTCTTGGAGAGGTGTTTGCAGAATCACACTGGGCGGGAGATCCTGGAATGGGAATAACGGACCCCGCTATAGAACAATAATCCCCCATGATAGGGGATGGTTATCATGATGGTCGCATGCTTCGTGTGGAAACATAGTGCATGAGGGTAAACTGATTGTTGTTGTTGTTGTGGTTGGTTGGTTGGTTGGTTGGTTGGTTGGTTGGTTGGTTGGTTGGTTGGTTGTTGTTGTTGTTGTCATCGTTGCTGTTGCTGCTGTTTTGTTGTTGTTGTTCCATTCTCATTTCAGAACAATAAGTATTGTTGATCCCCCCTCACCGGTGCATACGATTTTTCCTCAATCAAAGTGTGCCCCTCGACACTCGCACCCAGTTTTTTGACAGGGAAAGTCTTTGTGCTCAAACTGTGCCCCTGGCCCCCCGGATTACAACAACAAGTGCTCCCGCCTGAGACTTCCTCCAAATTTACTCCTGACCCCCGTTCTTGAGACTTCCTCACAATTTACTCAGGATCGGTGCTCCCGCCTGTGACTTCCTCGCAATTTAGTCAGGACCCCCGCTCCCATCTGAGACTTCCTCACATTTACCCAGGAACGGCGCTCCCGCTTGAGACTTCCTCGCAATGGAGCCAAGCCTTCCTCGCAATTCTAGGCGCTTCGCGTATCCCCACCAGCCCGTCCAGAAACGACGCCCAGGCGAGCAGAGGGTCGTCCTGAGGGGCTTTTCGGCGTCTTGGGTGCCTCGGGGGGGCCTCTGTGGGCCGTTCGGGATCCTCTTTGGGGCCTCCTGGGGGCCTCTTGGGGCCTCTTGGGGCCATCTTGGGGCCTCTGGGAGCACCTTGGGTGCCTCTGGGGGGTCTCTTGGGGCCTCTTGGGGGTCTCTTGGGGGCCTCCTGGGGGCCTCTTGGGGGGCCTCTTGGGGCCATCTTGGGGCCATCCTGCGGCCTCTTGGGGCATCCTGGGGGCCTCTTGCGGCCATCGTGGAGGAAATCGATCAAAGAAGAGGGGAGCCTTAATTAGCGCTGCCCCCTCAGAAGGCCAAAATGGGGCCCAAACCATAGTAAAATCAATGATTTTGGCTTCCTCGCCGAGGCCGTTTTGGACGCTCTGACCGCTCCCCGCCCCTCCTGTCCAGGTCAGTGGGGAGGGGGTAGGGGGAGGGGTAAACCCCTCCCCGAAGGGGAAGAGGGAGGGGTGGAAGAGGAAACGCTCTAAACCACCGACGCCCAGAGGGCTGGTGGGATTTAATCAGGACCCTCGCTCCCGCCAGAGAAACCCTCACATGTTATTCAGAAGTTGCGCCCTCGCCTGTGACTTCCATGCAATGTATGCAGCAGTCGCGCTTTCGACGCTCAGGAAACACGCTGCGCCAACGACGCCGTTACAATTGACTTAGTAATCGCGCTCTCGCCATAGACAGACATCCCGCTTGACTGTCCCACACGCCCGACCCGCCCGTCAGGGGATCGCCCGCCCGTCGTGGGCTCCCGCCCGAGACTTCCTTCAGGAACGGCGTTTTCGCCTAGGACTTCCTCGAACGTTCACGCTCTTACCTACCTGCTCTTCCTCCCTTTCCCTCCTCCCTCCTCCCTCCACTCCTCCCTTCTCTCTCCCTCCTCTCTCCCCTCATCCTTATGCCTCTCTGCCCTATCCCCTCTCCCTCCTCTCCCTCCTCCCGTCTCCCTCCCCTCTCTTGCCTCCTCCCTCCCTTTTTCTTTCTCTCTCTTCCCTCTCTCTCTCTCTTTCTCTACCTCTCTTATATGTTGTTTTCTCTCTCTCCGTTTTTTTGTTTTCTCTCTCTCTCTCTCTCTGCCTCCAATTAACCGCCCCCCTCTTCGCTCCTTCTCTCCTGGCGTTTTCCCTCTTCCTTCGTCCCTCCCCCTCCCTTCCTTCCACTCTCCCTCGTTCTCCCCCTCCTCTTTTTGCACGGCTCACACCAATTCCAATGGCGGGCACATGTACTACGCCCACGAAGCATTGTCCGCCCGTTCAGGCTTGCCCGCCTGTCTAAGCCCGCCGCCCCCCGCAAAGATAATTAATCCCCCCATAGGGGGTGTGATCGAAGACAAAAAGGGCGGGTATCGAGGGTGTGGCGGACTCGTTTTGAATGACACACGGGCAAGTAAGAGCGAATTGTCTTAGAATGATTGTTGTTGTTGTTCTCGCAGTCCTCGCCCGCGATCCCCCCGCGACCCACCCACGACCTAACCCGCCACCCACCCCGCCTCCCACCCCGCCACCCACCCTGCGACCCGCCCACGTCCCACCCCTTTGTCTTTCTCCGAAGCTCAGTGCTGCTACGCCTGTCTTCTCGCCTTTTCTCTCCTTGCATGTTCTCTGCCCTCCTCCTCTCCCCCCTCCCTGTCTCTTTCCCTCACTCTCGCTCTCCCTCTCTCTCTCTCTCCCTCTCGGCCCGGCGAGGCCGCCGTGATGTGCAGGCACCTGGTGCTCTCCGCCGACCAGGACGGCACGGTGCACTTCTCCAGCGCGGTCCGGGGCAGGCTGCGGCTGCTCGGGGCCGCGCCCGTGCTGCTGTCCCGCCAGGGCAGCTCCTACCTTCTGGACGGTGGCCGCCGCCGAGGGGGCCTTGAGACAAAAAGACGATCTCAGCGATGGCAACGACGACGACGACAGCGACCAAGACGATCATATAACGACAAGAACAGTGATCACGACGATCACGTGCTCCCAACGACCGCAGCGACCACAGCGATCATGCCGACCGCGGCGCTGATCACGGCGATCGTAACGACAACGATCAGAGCGATCACGTGATGCACAAAACGATCACAACGGTCGCGACGACCAGAACGGTGAGAACGACAGCGATACCTATGCGACCACCCTTCGAGTGATGAGGAGGTTGGGGGGTGGGGGAAGAGCCAACCGCTGGCAGCCGCGATGGGTGAGATGATGGCGATGCTGGCTTCGCGCCCTCGAGTTGGCGACGCCGCGTGTAGCCAATAGACGTTCATCAAACAGTCAGGGATGTGAAACTTGCACGCTCTGCTCTATCGACGGAAGATGTAAATTCATAAAAAAAGCATTTCAACATCTGCGTTAAACAAGAAACGATTATATCAAGTGTGGAATTGCCGATCCAAGACCAATCTTGCTGACTAAGACGCTGTTGTCTAGATCTCCAATCTGGGTTTCGAAACTGCCATAACGATGTTGCGCCGCGATGTGATGCCACCATCGACTCCGTTATCGATCTCACTCGATCGATCTCACTGTCGACTTCACTATCGATCCAACTATATCTCACTACCGATCTCGCCACAGCTCGGTCGTGACCGATCTCACCATCGATCTCACTGTAGATCGGGACACTATCACGACACCACGGCGGGACACCGCTGGACACCCCTGGACAGCGCGGGACACCACTGGGACACCGCCGGACACCACGGAACACCACTAGACACCATTGGGACACCACGGCGGGACACCGCGGGACACCATCAGGACAACGCGGGACACCGCGGCGGGACATCCCAGCCAGCGCGCGCCCACGGGAGAGCTGGACTTTTGCATCCGACTCGCCCTAGCGACGGCGGGATTATTCCTCTCGCGCGCCCACGGCGAGACACCGCGGGGGCCCAAGATCGCCAGGAGGAGTCAGATGTTCGAGGATCCAGGTTCAGGAGGCAAAAAACACACAGACACAAGTCATCGTCGGCTCCAAGGAAAATGCGGGAAAATGCAGGAAGTGGGGGGAAGTCGAGAATCAAGAAAACATGAAAAACATGGGGATCTTGGGATTTGTGTGTGTGCGTGTATTGAGCTGCGTGTCCCCAGGCCCCTTCACACAGGTGTCTGGGTGTGTGTTGCCCTCCTTGGGGCCCCACGGGGGCGCGCTTGTGGCCACACGGCCGGACGCGCCCCTGGCGTTCTGGCCAGAACGCGCCCCTGCAGAGGCCCAGGAGCAGCTGCTCTCGGAAGGGGGGGGAGGGGGGGGGGGCACGGCCAGGAGAGGAGGCCACGTGCGAAGCATAGCCCCACCACCCCACGATTTCTACGGGGGAGATGGGGCTCACTTCGCTCGGGACCTCCCGAGCGAAGTGAACCCCACCGCCCCCCCTAGAGGCTCCTGTCCCTAGGGTGCCCTTGCGTCCTTCGTGGTTTCCATTGGCCAGCCCTTCAGGGTGCTGGCAGTCCGCAAGAAGTGCCAACTTCGACGTCCAAGGCTGTTGCGCCCTTACCGCCCGTCCTTGCTATAGATCTCGGTTATGAAAGGGATCCTTAGGTCTCTTCTTAATTGTTTTAACATCCCATTCCCAAGGGCTTTTCCCTGGACCCGGGACAGTCAAACGCGTCCCAGGATGAGAAGCGAGTCATGGGGGAAGCCTCGGGGCTCCAGGGCTCTCCTCTCTCTTATGCCCAGGTGGGGCCAGTGCTAGGGCGGAGGCGGATGCCACTGAGCAGGCCCTCGGCGGAACGCTGACGGAGCTCGTGGAGAAGTGCTTTGTGCCCTCGGCACAGCAAGCCAGGGTGGGACCCGGTTTCGTGCGCTCGGTGGGCAACGAGCCGTGCGAGCCAGCTGGCGACGTGAAGCAGATGTCCTTCCCAGAATTTGTGAGGCACCTCGAGGCTTACGACGTGGACACTGCAGAGTTTGGTCGAGGCGATGCGAAGACGCTTCAGGAGTTTTACGACGAGGTCATGCTCGATCAAGAATCCTATCTCACCGTGACTGGCGACCGCCTGGAGAGGTTCGTCGAGATTGTCAGAATGCAGCTTCTGATGCGGGGCGATGATAACCGTTTGCGCGAGCTCAGGATCTCCGCACAGGCCAAGGCGGACGGCAGGGTCCGTAGGCGTAACCAGAAGCTCGCCATGGTCATGAAGGTATGCGACGGCCAGCACTGGAAGGACGCCGCGGTCAAGTGCCTCGAGCAGAAGTTCGGCCTCGGCAGGGCCGATCAGAGGAAGTGCCTGTCCTTCGAGTGGAGCGCGCACGAGGTCACGGAGGAGCGCCACGCCTCGCAGACCGTCCCGGATATCATGACCATCTACAGGGTCTTGCGGGGTGTGACCGTGGCCCCCCCCTGCCGACCGCAACCGCCCAGCCCTCGCGGCCCCCGAAGGCCCCCCGGGACCGCCGAAGGCCGCCGGGGATCGCGGGACACCGCCGAGTGGACCGCCGAAAGCCGACGCGCGGCAGGGGGTCCATCTCCTCCATCTCCTCCTCCTCCTCCTCCATCTCCTCCTCCTCGTCCTCCTCCTCCTCCTCCTCCTCCTCCTCCTCCTCCCCATTCCCCTCCTCCTCCTCCTCCTCCTCCTCCTCCTCCTCCTCCTCCGTGGCTGTCGGTTTCGTTGTCGTCGTCGTCGTCGTCGTCGTCGTCGAACACGCGCAGGTTCATAGCGTCACCGTGACGGTGAAGGACAAGAAGATGCCGGAGCTTGCCACGCTGGGCCTGCCGCTCGGCCTCGACTTCACCACGCAGAAGGGCACCCGCTTCTGGTCCTGGGCCCCCGTGGCCAACAGCAGGGAGGACGTGCAGAACGAACAACACACGCCCACACCCACAGGGGTGTCGTTGGGAGGAGGACTGGCTGTGGGTGTGGGTGCGGGTGCGGGTTGTCAGACCCTGGGGAACGCTTCCGTTCGAGCGGGGACCCCCATCCGACAACACGCACCCATAGCCCTCTCCGACCCCCCCCCATGGATATGGGTGTGTGTGTGTGTTGTTGGTTCGTCAAGGACATGCTGATCGATCTGCTGAAGGCCAACGGCATCGACAGCTCCGAGTTCCCCGCCGGAGCGTTCGCGGACCTCTACGACGAGGTCTACGAAGGGTGCCAGTCGACCCTGCAGGTCGTGGACCGCGAGCTCGTGCGCACGGTGAGGGTCGTCAAGCTCTGGCTGCATGCCGACATCCTCGCAGTCGACCACGTCCTGCTCCTGGGCTCCAAGGTCCAGAGGGGTAAGAGTGACACACACGACAGGGGGCGGCCCCTCACGATGAAGATGCCGATGGGCGGGGACTGGAAGCAGGCGGTGGAGGCGGTCTTGCACACGCGCCTCGGCATGACGAGGGACACCCAGCTGAGCTGCATCGCCGTGGACGAAGGCTCCCACAAGGAGAGCGAGCAGTGGTCGTACTCGTCCACGTTTCCGGGCCTCAGGACCTGCTACAAGATCGACGAGGTCACCGCCCGCGTGTTCATGAGCGAGGTCGACTCGTCCACCCTGCACCGCATCGGCCTGCCAGACGGGCAGAACTTTGCCTTCTCCAGGTGGGAGCCCGCGAAGGGCCCGGGCAAGGACGACCTCGTCATCACGCACTGGCAGTGGCAGAGCGCCAAGGACTTGGTGACCAGCCCGTCCCGATGGGCCGATTTCCCACCAACACGACCATAGGTAGGAGGAGGAGGAGGAGGAGGAGGAGGAGGAGGAGGAGGAGGCGGAGGCGGAGGAGGCGGAGGAGGCGGAGGAGGAGGAGGAGGAGGAGGCGGAGGAGGAGGACGAGGAGGCGGAGGAGGCGGAGGAGGAGGAGGAGGACCTCCCAAGCCTCTCTTCTCCCCCGTCCTGCCTCTGGCAGTGGTGGTGGAACATTGGCCCATCACGTCCGAGCCGGCGCCTGGCAGCACGGCGCCCGCTGCCAAGACCTACGCCGAGGCGCGGATGCAGAGGACCAGGGCGCAACAGACGGCACGGAAGCACGCGGTCCGGGAGCGTTCCATTCGGCGCGGCGCGCCAAGCACGTCCCAGTCTGCAGGCGTCGGCGTGCCGAGCGTTCCTCTTGGCTCCCCGTGGCGCGAGGCGGAGGGACATGCCACCCGCGCGGGAGGCACCGCGTGCTGCGGGCGCCAAGCGCCGCGGCACCTGAAAAGCAGAGGCTCCGGGCCAGAACCCGTCGGAGGTCCGAGGCGACGGTGTTTGGGGTCGGCGCGAGAGCCCGCTGGAGGCGTCTTGGGGCACCATCTCTGGCGCGCTGCGCGCGCCAGGAGAGGGGGGTGGATGGGCTCGTCTTCCACCACCGCCATCACCGTAAGTGTGAGGGGGGGAAGGGGGTGGCGGACGAGCAAGAGGAGGACGAGGAGGAGGAGGAGGAGAAGGACCCCCTCCCCCTCCAACGTATGGTGGTGGTGGTGGAATACTGGCCCATCAGGGGGCGGGTGTGGGGTGTCGAGAGCCGGCCCGAGGAATTCGCGCAGACCTCCGAAAGGTTGTGCTTGTGTCAAGTCAGGCATGCCCCCTCTACAGGAGGAATATGCCGAAATAGTCCAGCAAGATAGTCTGGGGACGATTTCGCCTGCGCATATCCTGACCATTTTGGGGCACGGTTTGATTTTGAACAGAAAAGTTCGTCAAACAAAATCCGCCGGCAGGGGGACATGCCCTTCTTAACGCTTGGGCCGTGATGTTTTGCTATCGGCGCCGCACAGGCATACTCACACGATCGGCGCGTGGGCCGCGCGAGCAGGGGGCGACGCTTCTGCCCGGAAGCCTCGGAGAGCGAGCTCCGGGGAGGGCGCCTTTCTGGCCGCACGTAACCGCTCGGGGAACGAGGCGCTGCAAGATTCTATACGGCCCCGCGTACGATCAGAAGCCTCCCACCGCAGAGCCGGCCCAGCGTTTCTGAACCAGCTTGCCGGGGAAAGCTGGCTCGGCTTCTTCAGGGGATCGGGAGGCCTTGGATCCTAGAAATGAGTAGGGCACGCTCCTGGCTCCTACAGCTGGCCCAGCGTTCCCAATTGATAATTTTCTCAATTATATGTTTGACTGTACTATATGTTCGGGTCGAACGTGCGTCCCCAGCAGAGGCACGCAGTTTGCGCAAGAAGCAACGCCATACACAAAGCACATACTACAAACATTTACTTACAATATCGTCCCCAACACGTTTGTGGCCATTTTGGAATTTTCCTCCTGTAGAGGGGCAGGCCCGATTTAACGCCAGAAACACAAACTTTTGGCGCTCCGTGCGGATGTCTTGGATCTGCGCGGGCCATCGCCCCCTGGCGGCGCCTCCAGTGCCGCCCCTGGCGCGTGGAGCGCGCCAAGGTGGGGGTCCCATCGCAGATCCAAGACATCCGCACGGAGCGCCAAACAATTGTGTTTCTGGCGTTAAGTCGGGCCTGTTCCTCTACTGGAGGAGTATTGAAAAATGGTTTGAAACATAGTCTGAGGACTAGTTCCCAATCCTCCTGCGTTGGGTACTCGTTTTGAATAGAGCACTCTGGTCGCGTCTTCCCTCCTCCTCCTCCTCCTCCTCCTCCTCCTCCTTCCCGTCCCTCTCTTCTCCTCCCTTCTCCTCCTCCTCCTCTTTTCTCTTGCATCCCTTCTCCTCTCTTCGCTCCTCCTCTTCTCTCTTGCTTCCCTTCACCTCTCAACTTCGGTCCTCCTCTTCTCTCTTGCCTTTTACGTCCCTTGCCCCTCGCCATCCCTGGGGTGCTGCGATGTGTGACACTGGCGCCACTTTCGAGGGCTGCTGGGGGGTTCAGCGGAGTGACGTCCTACGGGGACTCAGATTAGACCTCGCCATCCCTGGGGGGCTGCGATCTGTGAAACTGTCGCCACTTTCGAGGTCTGCTGGGGGGCCCAGCGGAGTGACGTCTTACGGGGACTCAGATTAGACCTCGCCATCCCTGGGGGGCTGCGATCTGTGAAACTGTCGCCACTTTCGAGGGCTGCTGGGGGGCCCAGCACAGTGACGTCCTACGGGGACTCAGATTATACCTCGCCATTCCTGGGGGGCTGCGATCTGTGAAACTGTCGCCACTTTCGAGGTCTGCTGGGGGGCCCAGCACAGTGACGTCCTACGGGGACTCAGATTAGACCTCGCCATCCCTGGGGGGCTGCGATCTGTGAAACTGTCGCCACTTTCGAGGTCTGCTGGGGGGCCAGCGGAGTGACGTCTTACGGGGACTCATGTTAGACCTCGCCGTCCTTGGGGGTCTGCGATCTGTGAAACTGTCGCCACTTTCGAGGGCTGCTGGGGGGGCCAGCACAGTGACGTCTTACGGTGAGTCAGATTGGACCTCGCCATCGCTGGGGGGCTGCGATCCGTGAAACTGTCGCCACTTTCGAGGGCTGCTGGGGGGTTCAGCGGAGTGACGTCCTACGGGGACTCAGATTAGACCTCGCCATTCCTGGGGGGCTGCGATCTGTGAAACTGTCGCCACTTTCGAGGTCTGCTGGGGGGCCCAGCGGAGTGACGTCTTACGGGGACTCAGATTAGACCTCGCCATCCTTGGGGGGCTGCGATCTGTGAAATTGTCGCCACTTTCGAGGGCTGCTGGGGGGCCCCGCACAGTGACGTCCTACGAGGACTCAGATTATACCTCGCCATTCCTGGGGGGCTGCGATCTGTGAAACTGTCGCCACTTTCGAGGTCTGCTGGGGGGCCAGCACAGTGACGTCCTACGGGGACTCAGATTAGACCTCGCCATCCCTGGGGGGCTGCGATCTGTGAAACTGTCGCCACTTTCGAGGGCTGCTGGGGGGCCCAGCACAGTGGTCTTACGGTGATCAAATTAGACCTCGCCATCCCTGGGGGGCTGCGATCTGCGAAACTGTCGCCACTTTCGGGGCCTGCTGGGGGGCCCAGCACAGTCTGCACCCGCGGCGACTCAAATGGGACCTCGCCATCCCTGGGGGGCTGCGATCTGCGAAACTGTCGCCACTTTCGAGGCCTGCTGGGGGGCCCAGCACAGTCTGCACCCGCGGCGGACTCAAATGGGACCTCGCCATCCCTGGGGGGCTGCGATCTGCGAAACTGTCGCCACTTTCGAGGCCTGCTGGGGGGCCCAGCACAGTGGGTACCCACGGCGGACTCAAATGGGACCTCGCCATCCCTGGGGGGCTGCGATCTGTGAAACTGTCGCCACTTTCGAGGCCTGCTGGGGGGCCCAGCACAGTGGGTACCCACGGCGGACTCAAATAGGACCTCGCCATCCCTGGGGGGCTGCGATCTGTGAAACTGTCGCCACTTTCGAGGCCTGCTGGGGGGCCCAGCACAGTGGGTACCCACGGCGGATCAAATTAGACCTCGCCATCCCTGGGGGGCTGCGATCTGCGAAACTGTCGCCACTTTCGAGGCCTGCTGGGGGGCCCAGCACAGTGGGCACCCGCGGCGGATTCAAATGAGACCTCGCCATCCCTGGGGGGCTGCGATCTGCGAAACTGTCGCCACTTTCGAGGGCTGCTGGGGGGCCCAGCACAGTGGGTACCCACGGCGGACTCAAATGGGACCTCGCCATCCCAGCACAGTCTGCACCCCTGGCGGACTCAAATGGGACCTCGCCATCGCTGGGGGGCTGCGATCCTGTCGCCACTTTCGAGGCCTGCTGGGGGGCTTCGCCTCGCCATCCCTTGCGATCTGAAACTGTCGCCACTTTCGAGGCCTGCTGGGGGGCCCAGCACAGTGACCCACGGCGGATTCAAATTAGACCTCGCCATCCCTGGGGGGCTGCGATCTGTGAAACTGTCGCCACTTTCGAGGCCTGCTGGGGGGCCCAGCACAGTTCACATCCTGTCGCCACTTTCGAGGCCTGCTGGGGGGCCCAGCACAGTGGGTTCTTCAAATGGGACCTCGCCATCCCTGGGGGGCTGCGATCTGTGAAACTGTCGCCACTTTCGAGGGCTGCTGGGGGGCCCAGCACAGTGGGCACCCACGGCGGATTCAAATGGGACCTCGCCATCCCTGGGGGGCTGCGATCTGTGAAGCTGTCGCCACTTTCGAGGCCTGCTGGGGGGCCCAGCACAGTGGGTACCCACGGCGGATTCAAGTTCGACCTCGCCATCCCTGGGGGGCTGCGATCTGTGAAACTGTCGCCACTTTGGCGGCCTGCTGGGGGGCCCAGCACAGTGATGCCACACGCAGATTCAAATTAGACCTCGCCATCCCTGGGGGGGTGCGATCTGTGAAACTGTCGCCACTTTCGAGGCCTGCTGGCGGGGCCCAGCACAGTGACGCCTCCCAAGTAGCTTACACATCAAGTTGATTGTCCATACAAGTTTCGGCTAACTCCTCGTTTCCATTGATACAAATGGGTTGGGTACGTCACAGGGTAATTTTTAATTGTTTGTTTTATGTTGTATGGTTTAAAATCTTGTTGGACGATTTTTAATTTGTCCTCGAAAATCGGCCTGTAGGGACAGGCCCGACCTAAATTTCGGTATTTGGCGTTCTTTCTTCTTCGAACGTTCTTCTCCTGGAGGAGGCGCCACCTGGTCCCAGACGTCGAGGTCGCCGCGCAGACGACGCAGAAACAGGGCGCCGGCTGCGGGCCGCTGTCCCCGCGCGGCCGCGCGGGCGGCGGCACGCTGCTCGAGAGCCTCATGAGGTCATTTCCTTTCGACCGATCCCCGTCGTCGCCGCCGCCGCCGTCGTCGCCGTCCCCTTCGCCGCCGTCGCCGCCGCCGCCGTCGTCCTCGTCGTCGTCGTCGTCGTCGTCGTCGTCGTCGTTGTCATGTCCTTTCAACCGATCCCCGTCGTCGTCGTCGTCGTCGTCGTCGTCGTCGTCGCCGCCGCCTTCGCTCGGCATCGTCCAGCCTATCCCAATCCCCACTGGGCCGTGGCATCGGAGCCACATCATCCCACTGTCCCAGGTGGGGGCATAGGCTCTCGAAGCCCGAAGGGAGCACAGCCTAGATCCCCATCTAGGTGGGCAAGTGGGCCAGTGGGGCCCAGGCCACGCCAGTAGGGGTAGGGATCGGTTGATCGAGCCTCACAGAGGGGCAAGAAGATGGACATGAAGAGGGCCAGGCGCGCGGCGTCCCGCATCTGCGACCCGAGGCACTCGGGGAACACGACATGACATAACCATACACTTCCGGATGTCCGCGCAAATTTCGCGGATCGGCGCTGGAGCCTCCTGGCGGCGCTTCCGGCGCCGCCTCTAACGCGCTCCGCGAAACCAGGGAAGGGGGGTACAGCGCCGATCCGAGAACTCTGCGCGGACCTCTGACAGTTCGTGTGTGCTTCATGTTTTGCTCCTCTAGGTACAGCTGCAGGGACTTCTACGAGGACGTCACCGCGGCCTTCCCCGAGCTTGGCCTCTACCTGTGCGGCGACATGACCAGCGGGCGCGCCGGCGAGGACGAGTACCAGCGCACGCTGGGCGCCATGTTCTGCTTCTTCTGGATGATGCGGCTGCACCTCGACGGCGCCCACTCGTTCTGCTTCGGGCTGGACGAGAACTGGAAGCCGCGCCAGAAGCCCTACGACAACAGCTCCGAGGCCATGGCGGAGTGGGAGCGCCGGAGCGCGTTCCATCGGGATGCCGAGTGGGCGTCGCTGGAGCTGCTGCTGGTCAACGCTGGGCTGCTGGAGGAGGCCACGCCGCCCGAGCTGCAGCCGGCGCGCAAGCGGAGCTTCCTCGAGCTCGCGTCCAAGAGGGCCTACGTGCTGCGGAAGCACGACGTGGAGCGGACGCTGGCCATGCTGGTCCTCACCGCCATCCACGACATCATGAAGATTCATTGGGTTACGCCGCACCGCCGACCCCTTGGGGCGGCAGCAGGAGTGAAAGACGGAGTTCGCAGAACGCGCGCGATCGCTGGGCAATCTTAGGGTTTCGGCCTGTCTTACGTAGCGTGTGGGGTTCACCGGGGGAGCCTTGTAGGGCATCGTTTTCAAGTTTTTCGTGGTCTTATGTGGGTTTCTTGGGGCCTTCACGGGGCCTGTCCCAGGCTTCCTGTTCCACCCCCTGGATAGGTTCGGGGATCGTTGGGACCCACCTGGGGGTGCGTCCGGCCAGAAGTTCGAGAGTGGACCCAGCTGTGTCGACGAGGAGCTTCCTGAAGGCCCAGAGGGGGCGTAGAGCGCCAACGAACTAGGAGTCTCATGCCTCGAGCCTCGATCCACCCCGTGTTCCTTCCTTTGCGAAGGGGTAGCACTGGCCAGGGAGGTCGATGCTCATCCCAGGCCCTCGGCGGTGGTCCCGGGCACCGAAAACGGTTCCCGGAGGCTGAATTCGAGAAGATGCCTCGGGTGGCCATGGAAGTCTGTGAGACATCGGCGGCGACGACGAAATGTTTTTTTGCCCACGATGTGGCCAGCCAGATTCGATTTTCCACCGTCAGTGGCTCTGTGATGATTTGGAGGTTGCCCAGACCCGTGCAGAGGCGATCGCCCAGGATATCATAGATGCTGCACGAGCGAGCCCCCCAGAAGAACATGTTTTCTGGTCTCGCCTGATGATGGCCCAGCCAGATTTAGAGGACTTCCCTCTCCCCTCGACGGCGACGGACCCTCTCCTTCAGGACGGCGACGGCAGGCCATTATCACTCCAAGAGTTTGTAGAGCTGAGCGAGAGTTGCGATGTAGTCGTGGACGGCTCGGCTACGCAGTGCATCATAAAAAATTTACGCCGAGCTAGTTTTGCCGCGGTTTTCCTGGAGCCAGGTCCTGAGTACAAGATCAGGACCCGACTCATGGCCCCAAGTTGGCCAACGATCCCGCAAACTCCCCAGGCTGCGGAAAATGTTGGTCTTGCCACTGTTTGTGCGTTCGCGTCTGGTTTGAGCACCCTTCACAGTGATTGCAAAGGGGCCATCCGCTTGCACAATGCTGCGGATGCGGCCCAGCTCGGGCCCAAGCATATGTTTGCGGGAGTGCGTAGGGCTGCGCAGCAGGCTTTGGTTTCGACGCCGCGGGTGAGGCCCTCTACACCCCAGCCCACAGATCGGAACAAGTAGTTCAAGAGCTCCCACCAGAGGAGCGCAGGATTGCTCTGGGCAATGCCGACGCCGACCGATTGGCGAAGCATGCGCTCTCCCTTCACCCCCAAGCGTCAGCTGCTGATCTGGCTGAGCTGGATAGGCGGGTGAAGCTCCTTCTGGACTGTGCGAAAATGTTCGGGGCAGTGCTCCCGCCTTTTCCCAAGTTAGATTTTGTTCGGCCCCCTCCTGCGGCCCGCCTCCCAAAGGTGAAGACACCGCCAGACTGGCACGAATGGGAGGAGCTCGAGGACAGAGGGGTTTTTCGATGCAGCAGGTGCTTTCTGGTCTCTTTCGAGAGCGATGCCCGACCTATGAACGGTTGTTCTGGGCCCCCTACTGCTCTCAGACGCCTCGAAGGTGCTGAGACAGAGAGGCGCCATCGGTTGGGTTTTGCTGTACTAAAGGAGACCCGCAAGCCGCTCTTTTTCTGTACCAGATGTGGAGCGTACACCAGCAGACGCTGCCACTTGCTCGGCCAGATGTGTCTCGGAGAGCTTGGCACCTCAGGAGAAGGTGCCATCAAGCGCATTCGAGAGGGCCTCCATCCTCATTATCGTAAGAATCCTGAGGGTGATGATGCTGTTGCACCATGCAGGCAGCCGCCTAAGTCGGTGCTCCTGGCCCCTCCTGGCCCCGCCTCAGCAGGCAAGGCTCGCTTAGTCGACAACGATCGGCTGCGGGCCCTGGCTGAGCGCATTCGGGCCAAGGAACCAGCCGCATGATCGCGGCCACAGATCGGGATGTTCTGCCTCAGGCTGTCTGGTCCTTCTCCTTTTTTTTTTCTTCTTCTTCTTTTTCTTATTATTCTCCTTCTTCTCGATCGAGGTAGATGCCCGCGGCAGTTCCGGCCGCCTTTTCCAGCCAGTGTTGTTTGAAGAGCTTATGTTTCAGATAGGTGTCGGTCTCCGGCGGCCGTTGCCGGGCCCCCGGAGTCTCAGAACCGGACGGACCTGGGGCGACGGCGGGTCCAAGGATCGGAGGTGGATTGACCTCCTACCCTGACGCGTCGATTCAGGAATTGGCCGTTTTCGATCCGCGAGAGAGCGTCGCGGTCGTCGTTTTTGCGGGTCCAGGTCCGTCGGTCTCGGTCCCAGGCCGCTTCCACTGAGGGGAGGTTTGCTACAGGAAGGTTCGTCCACCTCCGAAGGGAAAGGTTCGGGGAGCGAATTTGTGCGAAGTGGCCCGTCGGACTCGGGAGGTTCGTTGTGGTTGGGGGTTCCGGGCCTCTCCCCTGTCGCCGCGGTTGGATGCCTTTGGGAAAACGGTTGCAACTAGATTCCAGGAAGGGTGTGTAGGGCCCATGGTGAACGATTTCTGTTGCAGAGTCTTAGTCTTTTCAGTTTCTTCGTTATTTTCGTCGTCGAAGGGCCGCCTCCGGGTCCCGGGGCCTGTGGGTCCCTGTCAGGGCCTCTTGGGTGATTTAGGCGCCCTTTCATGTTTTCTCGGGGCGAAGTGCTCGAATTCTCCATTCGGGTTTCCCTTCTTACCCTCCGCTTGGGGCCGTCCCAGGGCTCTCCCCGGCGGTTTGGGGGCCCTGTTGGGGCCCGTTTGTGCCGTCCGGGAGCCTTCTTGGAGGCATGCGCGGGCTTGTGGGTTGATTTTGGAGGCTTTTTGGGCCGCTGTGGGATTCGTGAAAGCTCAAGAAGCGAATGTGTTAAACTTACATGTTTCCCTTCGGGAAGGGGCCGAGGTTTGGTTTTGCCGGGCCTCTCGGGCGCGGCCTCGTGGCGCGTTGGGGCGTCTAGGGGGCCTCGGGTGTGAGCTGGAGGCAATGGCAGGCGTCTTGGAGCGATCTCCTCACGAGTCGCAATTCGCGCTCTGGAGCCGTCGGGGGAGCCTTGTGGGACCTCTTTGGGGTCTTTTTGGGGGCCGTCCTGGGGCCGTCCTGAGTCGATTGGGTGGCTTCTGGGGCCTCTTGGCGTCCATTTGGGTTGTCTTGGGGTCCTTTGGGGGGCCTTTTTGGGTCGCATTGGGTCGATCTGGAAGGCTTCTTGGGCTGTTGTGGGCCTCGTGAAAGCCGAAGGGGCGAACGTGCTGGAAATGTATGTTTGCCATAGAGAATGAAACGCTCTTTGCTTTTGGAATGCCTCTTGGGACGTCTCCGGGTGGTTTCTTGGGGCGTTTTGAGGGCCCGTAGGACCGCCGGGAGGCGATCTGGAGCGTCTTGGCGCGATCTCTCGACGACACGTAGCCCTCGTGGGCCATCCAGGGGGGGGGCCTTTGGGGACCCTCTTGGCCCATTTTGGGGCCCTCTTGAGGCCGTCCTGCGGCTCTCCTGGGCCGATGCGTTTGTTTCTGGGGCCTTCGCGGGGCCCTCGCTGGCCGTCTTGGAGCCTTGGGGCCTCTTGGGTTATCTAGTCGCTCTTGGATGCTTCTTGGGCCGTTGTAGGCCTCGTGGAAGCCCAAGAGGCGAATGTACTGAACATGCATGTTTTCCCAATGGAATTTTGCGATTTTTGATTTGTAGGGCTTCGTGGAGCGCCTCGTAGCAGCTTTGTCAAACGTCTCGGGGGCCTGTGGGGAAGCGTCTGCAGGCAATTTGGGGCGGTTTGGACCGAAGCGTCCCCCTCGTGGGCCGTCCAGGCGGCCTTTGAGGACCGTCTTGGCCCGTTGTGGGGCTCTCGTGGGACCGTCCTGCGAGTGTCCTGGGCCATTGCTGCGGTTCCTGAGGCCTTCGTGGTGCGCCTTGAAGCCGTCGTGGAGCCTTTTTGAAAGCCTATTGGGGTGTCGGGGGTCGAACTTGGAGGTTGACTGGGCAGTTGTAGGCCTCGTGGAAGCCCAAGAAGCGAATGTACTGAAAATGCATGCTTTCTTTAGGGAATGGGACACATTGTTCTTCTGGAGGCCCTCTTGGAGCGCCTCGTGGTCGCGTTTTCACTGATGGGGCCGTTTGGAGGCAATCTTGGGCGGTTTGGACCGAATCGTCCCCCGTGTGGGCCGTCTGGGCAGCCTTTTGGGACCCTTTTGGCCCGTTTTGGAGCCCTCTTGGGACCGTCCTGCGGCTCTCCCGGGCCGTTGCTATGGTTTCTGGAGCCTTCGCGGATCGTTTGGAAGCCGTTGTGGAGCCTTTTTTGGGGCCTCTCGTGCTGCGGAGGCTCGATCTTGGAGGCTTCTTGGGCCGTTGTGGGCCGCGTGGAAGCCCAAAAGGAGAATGTGTTGAAAGTGTACGTTTTCCCTTGGGAATGGGACGATTTTTGCTTCTGGAGGGCCTCCGCGGGGCGCCTCGTAGTACTTTTTCGACAGTCTTTGGGACTGATGGGACCGTCAGGAGGCAATCTTCGGCGTTTTGGAACGATCTTCCGTCGATTCGTAGCTGTCTTGGACCGTTCTGGGACCCTTTGGACCTTTTTGGCCCGTTTTGGGGCCTCCTGAGGCTCCAAGTGCGCGGCCGGCACCTTTGCCCCCCCCACCCCCCCTCCGAACCAGCCGGACCTGCCCCCAAGGGAAGGGTTTTGGGAGGGGGGAAGCATCTCACACGCCGTGACACCAAGTGGTCGGCGGACTGTGCAGCTCTTGCCCACTGTGAGTAAGAAGCACGGGACCTTCCGCGGTTACAAGATTGGCGAGGTGATCAACGACCACGACGCTGCGCTTGCTTACATTCTCGAGCACCACCCGAGCGTGCTCCCGTCGTACGCGGCACTCCCCCGAGAACAGCAGGAGAGCATCAAGTTCACCCAGAGCAAGATGGAGTACAATATGGGCTGGCTGGTGCAGGCAGAGGCGCCCCCGGGAGCCCTCTTCCGGAAGTTCAAGCGCGTCATTGCGTCCGGCCAGGCATCTCCGCAGGACCTTGCCTTCTATTTTACGCACTGGTTCACAGACTTAGCTGGCGCCGAGCCGTTCCCGACGGAGGGCTGCGAGAAGTTCGTGCTTAAGTTCCCCAAGCATGTCCTGAACCAGTTCCTGCTGTCGTTTTCCATCGTGCAGAACATAAGCGTTCCCGGCGCCACCGAGGCGAGGGTGTACGAGGATTACCTCCAGTGGCGGTGGGACAGCCACAGGCCAGGATCCGCTTCGATCCGATCGGCCCGAGTCGATACAGATCTCGGCTGGCCCGATCCGCTTCGATCTCGATGTTCCGACGATGCGATGCGGCCCGATGCCCGCATGGGCGCGTCCGTGCATCCACGCGTGGCCGATCCGACTCGATTCCGACCCCGCGCCGATGCTCGACGGTGCGTCCAGGTGGACGTGAGCGGGGGCAGGGGGCCTTACAGTTGAAACCCATGCCAAGAAACACCCTGCTTGCCTCCAGGGTGCCCTGGGTGTCTTGGGTTTCGAGGGTTTTGCGACGGAGCGCGCGACGCTCCCACACCAGAAATCGATGAACGTCCTGGGGTTTCAGGGTTGGCGTTCTGGTGGAAGGTTTCTTGTGGTCGAGCTCTTACTGTATCACAAATCGGCCGGGCTTCTCACCAAGGGAGGAAAAACCACCTGGACCGCACAATTGGCGTTTACGAAACGGCCCTGGGCGTTTACTAAACAGCCCTGCCCTGTTTGATTCCTTCTTTGGGTGCGCTTACGAAACGGCTTCGCGTGTCGGGGTGGTTCTTATCGGGGTGGATTTTCTGCCTTCTATCTTCGACTACACGTAAGAGTGACCTTTCGCCGGGGTGACCTTTGGTGCGGGCCCAATGGGGTCCCCCGATCGCCGAGAGCGATGGGGCAGGAGCGTCTGGCGCGCTTGTGTTCGGCCCTCGCGCGGCCCTCCAAAAGCCGCGCACCAAAGGTCACTCTTACCCGGGGTCACTCTTGCGTGTAGCCGATATCCCAGAAGCCCTCCAGCTCTCTCAGAAGCCGCCTCTGCATTCGGAGACGGCTGATAGGCAGCTTCTCCAGAGGCCGGAGGCCCTCCGCTGCTTCTGAGTCGGGGCTACGGGAGACGGGGGTCAGTGCAAACGGGGGTCAGCCAGGGCACCCTGGAATCCTCCTCCTCCTCCACCTCCTCCTCCTGCCCATCCTCCTCCTCCTCCTCCTCCTCCTCCTCCTCCTCCTCCTCCTCCTCCTCTCCTCCTCCTCCTCCTCCTCCTCCTCCTCCTCCTCCTCCTCCTCCTCCTCCCCTTCTCTGGGCTCTGGGGTTATCGTCTTCCGAGGGCTGGGGGCCCAATTTCTCAGATTTCCTCAGAATTCCCAGAGTCAGCCATGTTCACGCAGGATCCTGCAGGATCCTGCGAAGACCCCCCCTGGCTGACCCGGGTTAGCGAGCCGCTCGTTGCCACGGGGAGGCCGCGCATATTGGCTGACCCAGGTTTGCGAAGACCTGCGCTGCAGTTTTTTTTTCCTGCATTCCAGGTTTTTGGTGTCCTGCTGACCCGGGTCTGGATTGACCCGGGTTGGATTGACCCGGGTCAGAAGATCCCCGACTGAGAAGGCCAGCGGGCTCTGACTTCCACCGAATTTCGATGCTCCGACGATGCGATGCTCGCATGGGCGCTGCCGTGCATCCCAGCGCGGCCGATGCGATTCGAGTAAAGTCGGGCGTGTCCCTCAACAGGAGGACTGCTCAAAATATTGGCAAACACAGTCAAATCTTGAGATGTGTAAATTTTGGGCATTCTTCTGTAGTTTTCATGCTTCGCCCACAATCGTTTGTACACCTTAGGCGATGCTTACGAAAACTCAAATTTTCGGCCAGAGTCTCGATTATTCTTAATGTTTCAATGTAAATCCTAAGATTTGAATAGAAATTCTGGGTTTTTATTCACGTTCTGAGACTATGCCCATGATTTCTTAAGCATTTCGCAGGGTGTAGGGGGACATGCCCGACCTGAGATTCGAGCCAGACCCCGCGCCGGTGCGGCCCGATGCGACGCCCGCTCCCGGCCGACCCTTGCGTCCCGACGCGGTGCTGGCCGGGCCTGCCGCAGGCCAGCGCTGGGGCCGGCGCCGACGGGCAGAGGCTCTCAGGGGCAACGGCGAGGGGGGGTGGCGTCCTCCCTGAGGAGGGGGGTGGCATCGACCCCCCGACCTCGAAGCAGAACGTCGAGGACGAAGAAGCAGAAGAAGCAGAAGAAGAAGAAGAAGAGACGGCATAAGCAGAAACTTGTGTCGCGCCGCGCGGACTTCTCGGGTCGGCGCTGGACCCCCCTGGCGGCGCCTCTCACTGCGCCCCTGGCGCGCGCGGCGCGCCGGCGAGGGAGGTGAGGCGCGGATCCCAGAAGTCCGCGCGGAGCTCCAACAGTTCATTTTCGTGTGGTTCTTTGCTCACCACCCACCAAACCACCCCAACCCAACCCGAAGGGTCAGATTTACCCTCGATTTCTAGTGGGGGGGGGGTCCGGGAACATCGAGAAAACACATATGGAACCCGTACCCCCCCCAACCCGAAATTCGGGTCTTCGGGTTGGGTTGGGGTGGTCTGGTAGGTAGTCATTTGTTCCTGTGGAAAAGACGATCATGGCGATCTTGGCCCCTGGGCTCCGACAGTGGTATAGCACTCGCTGTCGTCGCTGCTGTCCGGAGGAGCGGGACATCGGCACAAGCCGTAATTTTCAGAGGTCCGTGCGGACCTTCGAGCGTTTATGTTTGCGCGTGTTTGTTTCCCCTCTGCAGTCCACGTGCCTGGTAAGGACGCGCGCCCTCGTCTAGGGTGCCCTCGTGTCCTTGCCTCTGCGGCCCGTCCTTTATAATTTTCACTTGTCGCCCGCGGCTCAAAAGCCCCCAACTTCGGCCTCCAAGGGTCTTGCGTCCTTATCACCCGTCCTTAATACACGTCTTGATTGTACCAATCGCCCAATGGTCGCCGGCCAGGACCGTGCGGGTTCTCACCATCAGGGGCCTGTCGCCGATCTATCGGCGATGTGTCCCCGATTCCAGGTCGACGTTTTCCCCCCCCACCCCCCTCCCCCCCGTTCGGATGTAACTCCTGGGAGGTCAAGTTCTGATTTAGCCCTGGTCCGAAATCCCGCTCAATCCCGCTCAATCCCGCTTAATCCGGCTTAATCCCGCTTAATCCCACTTAGTCCGGCTTAATCCCGCTTGATCCGAGGCCCACTCTGGCGCAACAGCCCCCCAATGGGGCTTAATCCTCTATAGCCCTTCCGACGAAAACCTCCCAGTAGTTGCCTCCTAACCCTCGAGCCAGTCCCTCCCTTCATCTCGAAGGAGAGAAAACATTTGCATAAGCATGGACCATCGAAGATCCGTGCGGATTTGTTTGATCGGCGCTGGGCCCCCCAAATCCGCGCCGTCCCTGGCGCGCTCCTCCTCCTCCTTCTCCTCCTCCTCCTCCTCCTCATCCTCCTCCTTTCCTTTCCTTTCCTTTCCTTTCCTTTCCTTTCCTTTCCTTTCCTTTCCTTTCCTTTCCTTTCCTTTCCTTTCCTTTCCTCCTCCTCCTCCTTCCCTCCTCCTGCTCCTCCTCCTCCTCCTCCTCCTTCTCCTCCTTCTCCTCCTCCTCCTCCTCCTCCTCCTCCTCCTCCTCCTCCTCCATCCCCCCGCGGCGCCCCTGGGGCGCTCGTGGGCCCAGGAGGGGAGGTCCGGCGCAGGAGTCCACGCGGACCGTCGCAAGCAACAATATATTTAAGTCGGGCCTGTGCCTCTACAGCTGGAAAGTTCAAAAATGGTAAAAAAATAGTCTGGGGACAATGTTTTGGGTGTGTTTGACAATTCTGGCGCGTTTTTCGACTATTTTTCGTCGTCGAAAAAAATCGGCCTGTAGGGGCACAGACCCGACCTAAGACTATATGCTTATGTCGTTCCCAGACGTCCGACGTCTCGTTTTTGGCCAGCATCCTGTGGTGTTATGTCTTCCTTTTGAAGAGACAGCGCCCCGCGTTCCTTCCTCCGTCCTCCGCCCTCCTTTTTCCTCCTCCTCCTCCTCCTCTTCTTTCTCTTCTCCTCTTCCTCCTCCTCCTCCTTCTCCTCCTCCTCTTCCTCCTCCTCCTCCTCCGTCTCCTCCTCCTCCTCCTCCTCGTCCTCCTCCTCCTCCTCCTCCTCCTCCCTTCCTCTCTCTCCTCTCTCCTCCCATCCCTGTGTCTGCCCTCCGTATGGCAGCCATTTCGGCACACCCCTCACACGCTTCGTGGCCCCATAGGAAGCTCCACCGAAGGCCCCATCGGCACAGTCCGCATGGCGCACCCGCCTCCGATTCGGCGCACCAATCGCACGCTTCATGGCCCCTCATGGAGCTCCACCGAAGGCCCCAGCGGCACAGTCCGCATGGCGTACCCGCCTCCGATTCGGCGCACCTCTCACGCGCTTCGTGGCGCCAGGCGTGAACCACCGCAACGCACAGCGGGAACAACGGGGGGGCGAAAGAGCTGGGAAGGAGATGTGTGCGACCGACCACTGCAGCGCCCGGGGCTCGCGCCAAACAACACCCCCCCCCCGCGAGGCCGTGCCTGCTATTCCTTTTCCGATTCGTGCCGCGGTCCTTGTGGCGGCCCCCCCTCCCCTGCCCGTGGCTTCTCCTCTTGCAGCCGGCTGACTAGAGCTTGCCATCTCCTGGCCCGCGAGAGCGCGAGCGAGGGTCGCTTCTGCCGCGCTGCGACGGAAAAAAGTGGTGGCTCCCCTCCTCCATTTCACCTACCTCGCGACGCTCGCGGCTGCATACGGTTGGGTCTTTCGCGAGGCTGAATTTCGAGACGAGGGCCCCCGGCCTCTCGACCACCATCTCGGGACCGCCTTTTCATTCCGAGCTGTTTTTGACGGCTCCGACAGGCCAGCAATTATGAAACAACTCCGTCTCGAGTTTTTGCTCGAGACGCCAGATGTCTGGGTTCCTCTTCTACTCTCAGCCACGCGCAGGGGGGGGAGTAATGTGAGGGGGGGGGCTTCTCAGAAGCACCCCCTGGTTCTCAGGAGGCGCGGGCCTTATCTATGGATGTCAGGTCAGGCCAGCGCCTTCTGAGGAGGAGTCACTTTCTAAGAAGCCTGTCCACCTTCCCCTACCCCCTTGTGCGCGCCGCAAATATCTACCGGGCTGGACGAGGGGGTCGGATAGGGGAAGGGCGGGGTACGACATTTGCTGCATGCGTTTTTTCCCGCCCCGCAGCGGGGCCCATTCCTCGATGCACGCCCCCCGCCAGAAAACCAGCTGAGCGAACTGATTCTCTACCCTGGCCTTTGCTGTCCTTCCGTGCCGCCCTGTGTGCGCGCCGCCAGTGCCTCCAGACCCCTAGCGTCATGAGTTGTTCACAACGTCGACCCCGCAGAGGTCTCGACCCATTCCACGGGACCCGTTCCTCCTCCTGCCTCGTTCCTCGAGGGCCTCGAGGCGCGGCAAGGGCCCCCCTATGGAGGCCGAAGGTCGCGCGAAATCCCCCGTCGTGGTTCCTCATGGCCCGAGGGGAGAGCACGCTGCTCCGCATGAGTTTGGTGCCAATGAATGGACGATGAGTTGGATCCGTCAGTGGATCGGTCCCGTGCGCTGACGTAGAGGCCAGGATGCTTCTCTGTTGGCAGTTGGCCAGCTTGTGATGCCAACCCGTGCCCACCCCGTCCCGCCGTCTCCAGGGACGTCGCACCCCCCTTATGATGGTGGGATGGGGCGACGGGCCCGGGGGGAAAGTGAAAGTGGGAAGGGGCGGACCTTCTCAGAAGGCGGACTTCTCACCCAGGACCGAGCTTCGGGGCTCCCGGGGCCCGAAAACGGCCCCCGGGGGCCGAAAACTTTGAGACGCCGCCTCGAAGTTCGAACCTCGAGGTTCGAACCTCGAAGTTCCCCCCCCATCGCTCGCCGCCGATTCTCGCTGCCCCTCAGGCTCGATCGCCAAGATGCGGCTGGTCGTCATGGCCCAGGGCGACAGCGAGGCCGTCGTGCGGGCTTTCGACGCCCTGCCCGAGGAGGACCCTCCAGGCGGCATGAACCTCCTCCTCCTCCTCCTCCTCCTCCTCCTCCTCCTCCTCCCGACCGTCGAACAGGGACGCAGGACGAAAAACCGGTCCCAGGAAATGAGTCGAGACCCCTGGGGGTCGACGTTGTGAAACGCTCTCCGCGTATGGGAGTCTGGGCACTTCTGCGAGGGAGGAGTGCAAGGAATAGACCACGCCTTGGAGGAGCGAAGGCGTTGCCATCTCTTCCTCGGCGG